GTCTTACAAAATCAGGGCGACATCCCGGTGTGACAGAGGCACTGATGGGACCTTGCACAGGAACATTTCACCTTCAGCTCTGCTGTTCCCTCCTTCCCACCAGCCCAGGCCGTTGGTTTAGGGAGGGCATCAGTCACCTCAGGTCTGCAAACAGAACACATGGGATGGTTTTAAATAACCATCCAGAACGTCCATCACCAAGAAGAAAAGCTGTGTTGTCTGTTTGGGGCCTACAACCCTTTTCTAGCTCTAAGGTGCCCGGGGTGTCACTTTTATTTTAATGCCTGTAAGTCTGATAAAAGGTCTGCATGTTCCAAAATCTGAGTGCTGTGGGGCAGTGTTTCCAGCTCCCATTTGCAGTGAGGACTTGGCTGAGGGTCAGAAGAACCCTTCAGAAGAACATCTTTGATTCATTTGGTAGAACAAGGGATGCCATCCCTTGCTGATTTTCAGCTCTCCACCTGATGCGAGCTGGCAGTGGATGTGGCACAGCCCCTGAGAGGCTTTGCTGCATGTCTGTCTGACAAAAAGAGCTGCCACAGTGGCTGTCAGGTGTGTTTTGTAGTGCAGTAATTACAGACACTGAGATCCTGGGGAACTTTAGGGAGAATGAGATGCATTTCACACTGGGAACTAAACTTGAATAATGCTGCCCTTATGAAAGGTGGGAGCAGTTGAAGCTGTGGTAGAAGTGTGTGCCACTATTGCAGGGGGTTTAAGGGAAGACAAAGCCCTCAAAATGACCACTTGATTTAAAAGCAGTGATTACTCCTCCTTCCATGCATCATTTGTGATGCATTTTCCAAGTATCACTGTGGTTTCTCTCCTGTTGTCCTGTCTCTGGCTTTCAGCCCTTGTGATTTCATTTCTCCACCAGCCTGAATTGCAGCTGGACGGTTCATGATGGGCTTTTTGCTAATGCCACACTCATTCCATCCTCAAACATGAGTAAACTTTGTCCTGGGATGCCAGGGCCAAGTGGAGCAGGGTTTTGAGGTCTGTGGCACTGCACAGGGTGGAAGCATGGCCAGCAGGACACTTTTCCTCCTGGAGATGTCCTAACACAGCTGACTTTTATTTATCCCTGCTTCACCCAAAGCTCTGCCACCTTTTATATTAACAAAAGTGCTATGCTTGATTCATAATCTCCATCCATGCTCATTTCAATAAATTCAATTTGTTTTGTTTGTCTTAAGAAATGGTGCTGTACAGCAGCAGCATTTGAGGACATTTAGAAAATAGAAAGAAATTCAGTGGTGATGCAGTGAACATGTTTCTGGAATTTGTTGTAAATTGAAAAACACAGCAAAACTGACTAAGCTACAGTTTTAATTTTGGGCTTTGCTCAGTGTCATGCATGTCAAATACATTATTCTCATCAAAATTTAACAAAATCATACAGGTCTTATGGTGATAATTCTCAATATTTATATAAATATGTGCTGATGAGCGACATATTTTTCAGCTGTACTTTCATGAACTTGTGCATCAGGATAAGAATCTCTCATTCCAGCCTTTGCAAATCCCATCTTAGGATGGGTTTTATGAGCAGAATAGTTTGGGTTGGAAGGAACCTTTAAGACCATCTAGTTCCAGCCCCCTTCACAGGCAGGGACACCTTTGTCCACTGGCTGAAAAGGTGCAAATCAAATAAAGGAAATAATGGAAAATCTTAACTATCCGACTGCAAGGGTGCACATACTGAGTAGTGGAAAATCCTGCAAGTGGAAAAGCTCTTTTTAGGTGTTGGAATAATTGTATGTTGCTCGAAACACGCCTAGAACAGTTGAAACAGTTATTAAAGAGTGTTGCCAGATTTTATCACTGCAGTCATGCATATAGATCAGTGATCCCTAAGCAGCACTGTGAAATGTGTGAATGAGGTGCACTTGCTAAAAATAACCCTACTGAGTGCTGCTCCTAATTGCCACAGAATCCTGGGGAAATGATCCCATTTTAGTGCACAAAATTGACTTAAAATGTTTGACTGCAGCATTACACGTGGGTTCTCAAGGGATGATAAAATATTTGCTAGACCTTGGTCATCAGCATTTAAAAAATGAAGCAAACAGTCACCATCAGATTCTGCTTGGAGCTGTTGTGGTTCTGTTCTTGTCTCACTTTGGGTTCTGGCTGTGTGAAAAGACGTGGCAGGGCTGCAGCTCTGGGCTGGGAGAGGCTGGGACTGCTCTGCCTTACCTTGTAAGCCACTCCAGCAGCCCCAGATATCAAGAGAAGTATCTCTGAATTTGTTTTAAAAGTAAATAAAAAGTTCTCAGGATGTTTGGCAGCAGCTGAGCATCCCAGAGCTGACTGACAGACAGAGAAATGATCCTTTTGTTTCCCTCCCCTTTTAGAAGTTTCTTATAATACTTAATCAAGTTTCCCCCATGGCCTTGTACCCCAAAGAGAATCTGTTTTCCTTTTCATAGGAAATGGGTTTGTTGATGAAGAGCCAGCTATTCCCACCTATGTGACTCTTCCAGATTTTCTGGATATTGGAGAAATGGGAATTCATCCATTTTGTTATAACTTTATTACATATTTTTGTTTTAATTCCATCTTCACTTTGGGAAGGTGAAACTTTTCCCTCATCAAAACCAGTCTTGAAAATCACTAAGATTCTTTTTTTTCTAGCAAATTCTTTGATTATCAATTTCTTTATGGTTATTCATATTTTTAGGCAGCTGCAGCAAATGACTGATGTGCAGGCACACTGAATTTCTGCTCCAGCAAGGGTTTAAGCTATTTAGGGAAATGAATGAAGCACAAAGGTTTTTATTTAACTATAAATTTTGTATGGCTTTAATTTTTTTCATGAGTGACTGGCTTTCTTACATCAAACTCCTTCTCAGGGAGTTTTACAGCAATAGGCACTACCTTTGACAACTATAATTTTCTAAAACTTGGGGAAAGCCAGATGAAAGAATAAATAAATATTGATCTGGCCGAGGTTTAAGTAATCCCTGATTAAAGTAAAAATGCAGTTTAAAAGTAACAATGATTACTCCTGGAATCTGGTTTTGTTATCCTGCCCAGGCTGAAAATGTTGTGTCTTTACAGAATCAGAGAAATATATTGAGAATACTGATGAGGCATTTATTTTAATTTATCACCCCAGTGTTTGAGCACTTTTATATTATCCTCTGAATTTATACTCAAAATCAATCTCACAGAAGTGGGACAACTTTACTGCTGAGGCAAAGAGAGGCAAGAGGTTTAAGGACACACCTGTGCTGCTGTGCACAAACAGTTTTTACAGCTTAGGCCTCCAAGGGTAGGTGTTGGAACTGGGATTTAGTCAGGACAGAGCTAAGTGTTCCCATCCCTGCCTGCATCGATCCTGCTGGGAGTCCCCTTCTCACTCAGTTAATTGTCTTTGTACCATTTCCATCCCCTCTGGCAGAGATGTTCTGGCTTGCTGTACTCCAAAGCCCTGGCATTTGGGTATTTCCCCCTGCTGTGTCTCCTTGTTTGCTGCTTAATTCCTGGAGTTACCTGCTGGTTTTTGGGACTGGTATGTATCCAGTAGAGGGATTGCATTGTCACCTCCTGGAGAAGATGGACTTGCTGTTTGCTCAGCTCCAGCATTTTGTGTGCAATTCAGAACGTAAGAGCTCTGGTTCTTAGCTGTTTTCATGTGTTCCCACAATGGGGAATCTCTGGGATAAATGTGCTAAAGAGATGTTGGTAGCCCAGGTGGTGGAACAAGATGTTTGGCTTGGAACTCCTGCAAGCACTTCTGTCAGCTTAGGGTGGGAGCGAGGTATTTTTATCACTTGTAGTGCTTACATGGCACTTCAACCAAGTGGGTTAGGCTTGGGTTTTTTTTTCTTTGGCCAGATTTCAATTTAATTCATGATGTATCACCTCCCTAAGTCAGCTTTGGCTCCCAAAGAAGTCGTGTTGTCCTTTTAATTTCTGGCCAAGTGGTTGAGCAGCGGAACCCAGAGACTCCGGGAATTCCTTTTTGGCTCTTAATAGCACAAGGTCCATTCTGTTTGCGCATCCCTCTGCCATGCTGTGAAGTGCTTTGAGGAGTTAGGAGAGCAATTGATGTTGAATCTCTGTGTGCTGAAGCTCTGGGAGGGCTGGCACTGCTGTGTTCCTGCATCGGTCCGCTGGTTTGGGAGGGAGGCGTTCTCCGAGCAACGTGAGGGGCTCTGCTGAACTGATTGCTTTGGCAAGTTGTGTCCTGATGGATGTGCTGCACACAGGATTCTGTCTCTGCTGACGTGAAATCACCCCCAGATTCTTTGAAATAGATTCTTTGTTGAAAATTTTGTCCTGGCATTAGATTTGTGACACCTGATTGCTTTGGCAAGTTGTGTCCTGATGGATGTGCTGCACACAGGATTCTGTCTCTGCTGACGTGAAATCACCCCCAGAAGGGCTTGAAATAGATTCTTTGTTGAAAATTTCGTCCTGGCATTAGATTTGTGACACCGGCGTGTTTGTCCTGATGTAATTCTTGGAAGAGATGTTTGTTTTCATCTCTAACAGGAAGGGAGGAAAACTTTCATGTGCCCTGATTCATGCTTATATTTATTTAGTAAACATTTTCCCCTCAAGATATTTGATACTGAGAAAAATTGAGGTTATCAGTTTTGTGGAATACTTGTAGACCTGAATGCTACTACAAAATAAGTGGCAAAAAAAAAACTGTGACAGCTTTTGTGTGCATTGTTAGTTGGATTTTTCGGGAATTAGGCAATATTTAGTGCTTCAGTTCTATTGGAAGGTGTGTAATATTTTATTTTTTGAAGGTGTGTTAGACTTAATTTTTTTTAAGACTCACTTTTAAATTTTCTGTTATGGAATAACACAAAAGAGACAAGCTTAATTTTATTAATTGTGCAATAAACGCATTTGGATTTAAATGAAACCAGCTGCTTTTCAATGATTGTACTGCCTTTCTCTTTGATTTTACATTCATTATAACCACTATTATTTAAATTTACAAAACATAAACTGGTTTTTTTTTTCTTTGTTTTTATCAGGCCTTGCATGCTGTGACACAAAGATCTCATCGCCTGGCGCGCTATGTTCATGGTGAGCCTGATCTCCTCCTGTTGTCCGTGTTGTCATTCCAGGGATTATTGTATCAAAGGGGTAGCATGCTATTTTAGCAACCAATCATTTGAAATCATCATAAACACATGGAAATGAGTTTAGACTTTGATTTTTGCTGAATTAGTGACAAATCTCCAGTTTTCTACAACATCCGGTGCAAAAAGAGTTTTAAGAATATGTGAAGGAGCTGATAATGGCCTCAAAGTTCCAGTGGTCATGGTCAAAACTGCAGGTAAGGCAGGATGGGGCCAATTTTGTAGTTTCAAGTAATCAGTGGCATCAGAATTGCTGCCAGGTCCTCCCATGAGGAGATCTGCAAACAGCAACACAACAGGCCCAGCCTCAGTCCAGTGAATCCCATTTTGTCCTGGCTCCAAACCCTCAGGCTCTTTAGCTACGCTAAGGAATTCTCTGTGGCTGCCAACTTTTTGGCACTTCTTAAAATAACTCAGTTAAATATATTTCATAAACTCATTTTGTATAGGCAAAAGAAGCCCCTGTGCTGCTCCTCAGCATCTCATGTTCCTTCTCTTTCCCTTCTCCTCCAAATATTAGCAGATTGCCCCTTTTATAATGATATGAAAATAAACCAGCTTTTGGGATTAGGCCTCACATTTATCAAATAGTTTCCTGCTGTGTTCTTTCTTTTTTTTTTTTTTTTCCCCTTTTTTTGAGGGGTCAAGTAGCAAACACCTTCTGTATTTCTGGGTTTACTGATACATATTTTTAAATTGATTATTTTCCCTCATGCTTTTAAGTGGGAGTAGGCAATCCTCATGTAGTTCCAATGCTCTTTTTTTTCTTTTTTTTCTCTGTTTTATTTTTTTTTTCTTCTAAGTTCTCCCTTACATGCCTCAGGATGTTTGAGCTGCTTGGTGACCTCCACCTCTGAGAGCAGAAGTTAATAAACTGCTTTCCCTCACTGATGGGATTAGGGATGTCAGAGGAGTGGCCAAGGTTTTAACGGCACAGATTTTTAATCTTCTTCCCAGTTCACCTCAGTTGAGTCAGCCATTGGGATGTGCCTTATTGAGCTATGGGATAATCAATGGCCATGCTCAGCTGAGCTTCCTGGTGTTGCTGAGAGCCATAAATGTGCTGTGGCTTCCTGGAGGAAGTGTTCCATCCTGGCACATCCACTGGGGTGTCAATAACCATCCCCACTTCCCAGGGGAATCCTCTGCCTTGCAGGTCTCCAGGAGCCCCTGGTGAGGGGCTCTGGGCAGCTTTGGGATCGTGGCAAGGACAAGCCCTTGCTTGGTTGCACATCACTCTTGTGGGAAATTTAGGGCTTTTGAACAGCTGACTAATATGATTAAGTAGAAGTTGTTTATTTTTTACATTATACACATATTTATAGGTTCTACAAAGTACTAAGTACACACTTTTTGATTGGTGCTTTTGTCTTGTTTACTTCGTTTTCTGCCTGCATTTCTCAGAGTGTATGATTGGTTACAGTCTTCTACTGTACAGGTGTTTCTATTTCTACAGGTGCTTCAGTCTGCTGTTATCTAGTTTTTGTGGTCTTGGTATTTGGTTTCTCAGCCTCTTCTTTCTTAATTTAGTACAATTTATGTTCTAATATCCTTGAAGAATTCTTGAGGCTTTGATAACAGAAGCAGGCTGGCTGGTGAACACTATGGCCTAACTCTTCTAAATACATTGCAACTCATCACATTTAATTACTCAGTGCTCTGCTGCTCTGCAATGAGAGATGATGCAAGAACAAAAACTTAACATCTGTCAGGGCTTTTAATGCCAGCATTTCTTTACTTTTTTTTTTTTTTTTTGGGTGTTGTTTTCTATACTTTTCTGACATTCTGGCAGCGTTTCCATGTAATGGAAAAATGACCTTTTTTCCACAGTGTGCTGTCTGTGGTGATATTTGGAGCAGTTCTGCAGGTTCTTGCTGGAGGTTTGGAAATGCTGTGAGGATCTAGCACTGACTCTGAATTTAATTAATCTGGGAGCCCCAGAGACACAGTTAATGACTCCATCAATAACTTTCTCATATTCTCAAATTTAAAATATTGGACCAGTATTTTGAGGTAGGATAGCAGTGTCCTTCATTTTGAGGTCCATCTAGCAGGGATCCCCTGCAAGCTCTGCAGATGTTCTCTGAAGCACAACTTCCTAATTTTTCTTGCCACAGTTACTGCAGAAGGCCCCAAGCTTGGCATTGCTTGGCTAAAATATTTTTTACAACAAATGCAGTAAGCCATTGGCATCTCAAGGGCTTACAGTTAAATTTTACCAATGCAGATTGCTTTTGAGTCAGGCAAATCGACAGTGTTATTGTTTGTCTTTAGAAATACATTTTATCAAGGCTAGCACAAAGCCCCAGATGAATTGAACTATAATTTTTTCTGATTTTGATGGAAAAATACAATTTTATGATGTTCAATCTTTCTGTAATGAAGTTGAGAGGGAGAAAATTATGATTTTAACAGAGTACTAAAAATTCTGCCCACAAAATAATTTGTGAAAAGGAATTGCAAATCCAGTGGCAAGAAACCTTTATAGCCAGATAAAACCACCTGGGGCTTCCTTTTGTTTCTAATTTATATTCACAATAATTAATGAGGATAAAGTAGCAATCAGATATATAAGTTAAAACTATCAATACAATTTGTTTAAAATCAGTTACTAGTCCATACTTTTGAAAATACTGCAGCCCAAGTTTTGTGATTGGCTTCTGTTGGCAGAGCTCTGTCCTGTGTGAAGAACTGGTGCAAATAGAAAAGGCTTTTTAGGGAATCAAGGGTGAGCCACACATCTACACCACAAACCCACTGTTAATCTTTTATTATCTAACATATCTTCACCCTAGGTGATGCTGAACTTGTCGAAATAGTTTCATCAGGTTGCAGTAGGCACTTTCCTTGTGCAGTCCCCGGTTTCTTTGGGGACCCCGTGGCACCCTGAATTGGAGCTGGCACTACCATTCCCCTCCTGGTGTGTGGCTGATCTGGTCAATGTGGAGACTGTGATGACTTTGACTTGTTTGTCACCTTGTGTCTGCTGTAAATTGTTATTAGATTTTTCTTGTAGAATGCAGTTTATGTTGCTGAATGCAGAGGGAATAAAGCATGGCTGAGGCAGAGTGGTTCCTCTACTGCATATTCCCCTTGCTGTGCCCCGTCCTTGGCTCCTTGTGGCAGGATTCAGAACTGACCTTTAAAGAAATACTGTGTATAAATAAGAGTTGTTGAACTTCTGCAGAGATGGGGCTTTGGATTGCAGGTGTTCATAATTAGATTAATTTACAGGGAAGATCAAGCCAATGAAGGAGGCATGGAAAACTGATGGAGGGCTTATCAAATTAGCTAAGTAGAGCAATTAATCAGACAGGCCTTAACTATTTGGTTTCTATTTTTTGGTTATCAGCTGGAGCAGTTTGCTTTCAGCTTGCATTAAAGAAGACACTGAGTGCAAGGCTGTGCTTGGGGAGACACTTCCTTCGTTGTGTCCTTGTCACCCCTGTGTCAGTAATGTGGCCACACTCAGGGATCCATTGGTATTCCCAAGGCACAGAGCAGCCTCCTGTCAACAAAATAATTTTTTAAAAAGTGTTCAGCATTCTCTGTGAAAATACTAACAAAAAAGTACCAACAGTGGGCATGAGATTTTATCTAAACAGTAACTTGTCCCTGAAAGGGATCAATAGGCAGCTCCTCAGGAACTTCTGATTGCAGTATGGTAACAATTATCTTAGAGGTATTTAAAAGCACCTTAGAATGATGATTCTAACAAGCTGTTTTTATTCTAATTGAGTTCATCCAGTTTGGGGGCCGTTACATATATTGACATAATTTTTGTTTTTCTGACTCCATTTGTAAATTATTTAGTATTTATAGATGGACTTTTCCTGCCTTTCACTGCAGGAATAAAAAGAGGGTGCCATAAGATTATCCCAAGAGTACTTTTCCTCATTTCATTTCACAATAAACCTCCCTGGTAGCTGTCAGGTTTGGCCCTGAGAAATTACCCTGAGGCCCCAGAGTGTTGATATCGAATAGGGGCCAGAGCTCTCTCTCCAGACACGACCCTCCCACTTCCCTTTTCCTTCTATTCAAGAGGTCAAATAATTTCTTTTCCCACATCCACAATGAGTCCTAAAGCATGCCAGAAAATGGGGAAGAATGGAAATTAGCACTTCTTCCTCCAAAGCTGAAGAAAGATGATCTGATGAGAACAAGACCTTCCTTCAGATCTCCCTAAATGCTGAAATGCCTCTTGTGTAGAGGTTAAATATAGGTTTAAGATCATTCCTTGTGCCTTCCTTTAAAAAATACCCAATGAACATTCTGGCACATCAGCTTTGGGCATTTATATTTAGGAATCTTATCACAACTTAAAATGCTGCTGTAAAACTGGTTTCTCCTCTCTGTAAGTCTTCAGCCATTTTATCTTAAATATCCAGAAATGAAAATCTTAACCAGGGTTATCAACTTGGGTCAAGCTTTGAAATCCCTTTTAAACATTCTGAGTGATATTTTTCATGCCCTTAACACTGAATACTTCGAACCCCAAAATGTCCTGTGCTTAAGAGTTCTTTTGAAAACTGCAGAATCCTTGAACAGCTGAAGATTAAGAGGAGGTTTTTTAGTGACTATTTCAGGATTTTTTTATAGATTTTTCATCATGTTTGCCTTAGGAAGATAAAGGATAGATCTAAAAGCTGATGCCTGAGATGTGTAAGCTGCATTTTCTTTTATATCTCTGGAAAAGTAGTCTCTGATTTTTCTGATGAATTTCTGTCTCTTGCCTTGATTTTTGAATCACTGAAAATAAGATACAGCTTCTGTTTTAACCAACATGGGAAACTGCTAAAAAGCCTGTAAATAGGAGTAATTAACACCCACCTACAACGTTTCCTTTTTCTGCTAATTTAAATACAGGATTTCTAGGTCTAAAAGCATGTGAAAATAGTTCAGACAACATATATGTGCTTTCAACGCGCTTGAATCCAATCAGTA